CGACTACTGATCTGCCAGAAATGTCTTACAAAAACGAATCGAGGTCCAAATTAATTTTATCGTACGTTTTGTCGCTACTGTAGTCCTCAGGAATATTCTTGAACATTTCCCGTTGTTGCTTCCAGCACAGGGCTCACCCAAATTGTTGAATGTGGGTGTAAAATTCTAACTGCAATTCTAAACATGCTTCAGGCGACCTTTATAGCAGTTATGACGATTATGTGAGAGCAGAGGGACTTTTTCTGAACCCGTTCAGCGCAAGGTTCGCGAGTTGCAGAGCACAAACGCGACATGTCACATAGAGTGACAGGCACGTGATCCGACTCGCCTTGCCTTCGACCTTCATCCCGCCAGTCGTCTATCTCTCCCAGGACTGCTCTACTGACTGTCTGTCCACATAATGGACGAAATATACTCAATTCCATCCTTCTCTGGCGAAGATGAGTCCTGGAATTGGCCTTCTTTCGACACAGGCTCGGACGCGTCATCCTCGAGCATGTACTCTTTCACTGGTAGCACCAGCAACAGTAACACGGCCAGCCTGCACCACCCGAATCTGTACCCTATGCAGCACCAGCAGAACCCACAACAGTACCAGCAGTATCGAATGCCGTCGTATGCTCAAGCGCAAGCGGTGCGCGACCATGCCCTCTGTCTTTTAACCAATCTGACCGTTTCACTCGAGATTTCAATGGCTTCGCATGCAGACCTTGTCATGGCAAATAATACGACTTATATAGATCTTCTGCAACGATACAGCACTCTAACAGAACAGCATCGTCGTTTACAGTGCGTTATACACTTTGATTAATTCACCAGCTCCCGCTTACTGCTCGGGATAGGTCATCTACTGCCCAGCATGCACCCCAGTCCGCTTCTTCCTCCTCTCTTCATCCTTCCACCATGTCCCTTCCCTCCACATCTCCTTTGTTTATACTCCCCGGCGCCACTGACCTCGCCGACCCGAAAGAGTTCCCGCTGGTGCGCTGGTGGAACCGCGCCGACTTCACTCGTTCTCAACCGAAGAAAAAGACGACCACGATGAACTCGGAATCCGGAAAGCGCGGAGGATCGCGTGCTGCAAAGGATATCAACGTTATGCACCAGTACCTAGAGAACGAGGATGGTACCGAGGTCTCGGGACTCGCAGCAAAAGCGATGCGCGGGCACCAACGCACCATCTTCCGCGAGATCAAGAAACGAGCGCCCGACGAACTTCCGGCCACCTGGGGTAATGCCTCGCTCTCCGTCGTGAATTACCACCGCTCCGAGATGTACAAGGCGTATCCGTCACTGCGTCTCTGCCTGTCTCACTGGAAACTTGATCTAATGGCAACGACAGCTTACCCAAGCTGGTACAAAAAGAACGTGAAAAATAAGCAGACCGATTTCGAATCCGATTCTGACTCGGAGCAAAGCGACGCCAACGATACTCCACCCCCGTCATCGACTATAGGCTCTTCCTCCAGCTCAGCCTCGAGTTCTAACGCCTCCGGGCGGCCCAAGATCCCCGCGAAGCGAACGAAAAAATTTACTTCCTCCCAACAGCCGAAAAAACGCAAAACTATGCCGTCGCCTTCACCTGATCCTTCGCCCCCACCCGAGGCTGCGACTACATCCTCAAACCCTTCCTCCAACTCTTCAGCCTTGTCTTCCTCGGCGTCCCCGTCGGTTTCCGCCGCATCTCCGATTGCAGCGCAGGTGGAAAATTCTACTTTGTCTGGTTCTCCCGCTGTCTCTCCATCGAGTTCCACGATGGATCTCCCTTCGCTGGCACCTCTTGCAGATTCGAGCTTATCTAATCCTACTAACTCTTCGGTGACTGCGCCGGTTTGTCTGTCTTCGTTTCGCAAGTGCAAATACTCATGGAATAGCTATCGCAGACAACTACGATTGTGAACCCTATGTAAAGTGGTCTTGTTCCCTTCGTTCCCCTGTGTTAACTTAGAGCTGTTACAGCGATGAGGAGTTTGGTCCACCATCGGGTCCTACCCAACGGAGCGACGCCGCGGATGGTATGTTTAATTCCACTCCTTTCTTTTGCTTCCGACACACTTTCCCGTCAGCAGCGGTAGCATCAAATCCAAAGAAGGCCAACAAACAGGCGAAGAAAAGACCGTCAAAGTCCTCGACGCCAGAGTATGTGTGCCCATTTTCTGCTTCGGGGTACTTACATGGCTTTCCAAGAAACCTGTTTTACATCGACTACCTGAGGACGAACTCCCCGGTCACCGCGGTGGAATTCAAGACTTTGTTTTCGAAATTGACATCGGAGGAGCTGGAGGTCAGTCCGTTTCCTCTTCCCAGTTATTTCATCGTGCTGACGGCCTAAAGGGGTGGAAGAAAAAGAGCACCGAACAGGCTCGGGCGAAGAAAGATTCACGGGCACAGGCCACCGCTGCCGCAGAGGGCGTCGCCTCTGGTTCTTCAACTTGGTAAGGTGTTCAGAATCCCCTCGGCCACGCTGATGCCTGTTCCAACCAGATTGGATTGGTTTCTTGCCGTTTACTCTACGTACGTAGATCTTGTCTCCCTCCAGATTTGATACTTACTTCGACTTTATTCTAGGAATTAAAGCTACAAAGAGCGAAAGGATTTGAACGTTCGAATCGCAGATAAGAAAGGTAAGCTGTGTTGTGTTTAACTCAGTTCTTGCGCTGAACTAGATATAACATCTCTTTCTATCAAGATACAACGCCACTTCTCCTTGAGGTGCATCGAACTCTGCTAGTATTATAATCCACACTAACGCGACCGCCAGATTGAAGACCGAGATTAAATCGCGCAAGTTATGCATAGTCTGACGAGAGTTCGGTACGCCCCATTTCATGTGGGAGATGTTTTGTTTATCGTGCAGTAGGATGGCGGCAGGAGTGGATCTGCGCGGGCGGCGGGTGGCGGGCGGCGGGCGGCGCGCAGGCGCAGGGCGGTGCTCGAGGGTGCGACGGTGGTTTGTGCCTATTACATGTAGTTCAATGTGGCTCCCAAATAAATTCGATGTGGTTCTAGAAGAGCGACGAAACCATCGAACTAGATCGAGCCCTCGGCCAATCTGCGAGCCAGATAAGACCATGCTAAAATAGTTTGATGTGGCTCGATGGGGCTCGATCTGGCTTGCCGTCGTTTTCACTGGACCTGCTCCTTGATCCGTTCGTCGTCGACTAGTGGGTGACCCGGCCATGGCGCAGCTCGACCATCTACGTCTCGTGCAGCTGCAGCGGCGTTGGTATACCACACCGCACCGCTGGAAGAGGTGTAAGTGAAAGCGACAGGAAGGAAAAGGAAGGATGAGGACGACCACGGACCGAGTTTCGATACGCAAGCCAGAACCGGTAGGAGGTACATGTACATAGTGAAGGAGGGGATAGCTGCCCTGGATGGACAAGACGAGACGCTGCGTGCTGTACGGGATCGGGCTATGAAAAAGACCGGTAAACGGGACGAGCAATACACGATACCTTGTATGCATTCAGGAGCCCACTAGTCCGTACGATGAATCCAATTCAAAGTGCATCCGGCTGAGAAGGAGGAAGGGGTGCGCGTCGTCTTGCACCGTTTCGCGAGACGCGCGTTGAGGAGTATGCACGACTGTTCTGGGCACGGATGCACAGTCGTAGCCATGGCGCCAGTTCCGGGCGGGGAGGATTTTCAAGAAATGGTGCAGGGTTTGTACTTGCGCGTGGTACGCGAGGGTACACATCCAGGCAGGGCCTGGAGACCTCGGAGCCGTGGTGGAGTAGCTAGTCTTGTACTTTGGGTTGCAAGGGGTGGTGAAAACAAAACCTTCGGACATCAACCCCCAAAAACCTCCCATCAAAGACCCCGAAAACTAGACCCACCACCACCACCCGTGGGACTGTCCCACGGCCCCAAATGCGGCTGATAAGTGATTTCCGAAGCCAAATGCCGTGATGTACTTTTGTCTAGCCGCTACCAACTTTTCCAACATAGGTGATAACACTCCAGAAGACCCAGGGTGCAGTGGCCAAAAGCTCTGGTAATGCCACATGTACTGTATAGATTTTCCTTGGTGCAACCTTCTGTGTTTCTCGTTAGCAATGCACCAAACCGCGGTCCTGTGACTTGTTTCTCAAGCTTTGTGGCCGCGCGGGGGCTGAGATTTTAACAAGTAGGATTTTATCCATAAGGAATCAAATTTACATCTAAAAATCGTCCAACATGGAGGGTCAAGACACCTAGGAAAAATAAAATGCTTTCCGACGCCAAAACGGGAAGAGGAAGGACCCCTGGAACACATCACGTGCAGCAGGAGGTCTATATCCGGTATTCGACTTTCGGCTACCCCTTGTTGGGTTGCCGAAGAAACATCTTGTTTTGCTTCCCGATGTTGTACATATGGTTTGATCGTGAAGAAAGATCGTCGGCCGCGCGATCCGAAATAGCGTCAAGCCGACGCGGCCATCATGCCGCATAAGACTCATCACTGTTTTCTTGCTGTTGCTGTTTTCTGCAACGACCATACACTCCGCAAGCTGGGAGGATCAGTTGAGGGCGCAGACCGCACGATCCGCGACGCGCGTTGAGGCACTCAAGAACCCGATGAATGCTGTTTACTGTAGTATTCCGACCATTAGTTCACGGGGTGTCACCCGTCACCGCAAAAGTTCACTGGAACGAAAGTTCACGGTTCGGCAATCAGCCAACAATTGCCTTAAAGGGTAATCCGGCGAATGCCGGAGCGAAATTTTGCGATTTTCTAGGCGTATTTGGGCCAGGAAACTCATTGTCATCCGTCACCGACTTCAATTAGTTCAGTTCACGGGTCGCCGTCACCCGTCACCTGAACCAATGGTCGGAATACTACAGTAAACTTCAAATTCTGGACCCGCTCAGTAGGACTGCCAGTGTAAATTGTCAATGTTAATAGACATAAATGCTACAGCCCCAGTCGGAATTAGAGGACGAACTGGGAACTCACTCCCTTGGACCCTTCGCAGACAACAAGTTAACAACAGAAGAAAACAACTTGTGAGAACTAATCACCCGACCCCGAGTCGAACGGGGACCTCCTGCCACAGATATTCTCACAAGAGTTCACAGGAAGTAAGGGCAGGTGCACACCGTGTGCTATCAGGTGTTGTCCTCCCTACTTCAAGAGCAGATAGGTGTTGGCATTCGATGAATGGTGTTTAAACTTCACATTTTGGGCTCCCACAGTAAGTTGGCAATATAAATATCCATCGGTACGACATGAATACTACAGCCCGAGTCGGGATTGGACGGCAAACTGGGTACTCACTCCCTTGTACGTTTCGCAGACAACGGATAAAACGAGCTCGAGACAATGGACAACTTCTATCACCCAACGCCGAATTGAACGGAGGCCTCGTGCCACAGATATTCTCACAGGAGTGGTGTAAGTAAAGCAGGTGCACACCATGTGCTATCAGATGTCCTCATACCCACTTTAAGAGCAGGCAGGTTTAAGCAAAAATTGGTGGGCCAGTTAAAATGAAGTCTTGAACAAAGTTCAATCGTGTTGTACTTTGCCCATGATATACGTACACAGAAACAAATAGGAAATTTGACCCAGCTCCTGGAGGGAGGACGAATGAATCCGACAGCATGAAAAAGAAAAAATGTGTTTACCCCCTGCGTATCACCCGACCTCAAATTGAACAGGGACCTCCTGCCTGCAGAATCTTCCTCCAAGCACGTATTAAGGTAAGCAAGTGCACACCATGTGCTATCAGGTGTTTTCCTACCTGCTTTGAAGCGGGGTAAGTGTGGACAAGAATTAGTTGTTTTGGTCAAAGTTCAATCATGTTGTACTTCACCAGAACATACATAAGTAAGTACAGAAATTGGATAAGAGTATCAAGCCAGGTCAGTGAGGAGGAGGGATTAATTCGCTGATTCAAACGGAAAAGAAATTTGAGATTGGTGGCAGGCATATCACCCGACCCCGAGTTGAACGGGGACCTCCTGCCTACATCTTGGGGGATAAAATCATCAAGTAGGGCAGGTGCACACCATGTGCTATCAGGTGTTCTCTTACTTACTTTGAACCTCAAGAAGGGTGAACAAAAAGTCAGTGGGTACACTTTTAATCAAAGTCTTCGGATCTGAGTCAATCATGTTGTTGTACTTTACCCATGATACCACAAGTACACAGAGACAAAAAAGAGAGAAAATTAACCCGGCCCCTGGAGAAAGGATGAATGAATCCGACAGGCGGCAAAAAAGAAATTCCTCTATCCGAGCCGATCACCCGACCCCGAATCGAACGGGGACCTCCTGCCTGTAGACACTGGTTGAACAACTAAAGGTGAGCAGGTGTACACCATGTGCTATCAGGTGTTGTCCTCCCTACATTAAAGCCAGGTAAGTGTGGGAAAAAATTGGTGAGATAGTTGAAACTAGGTTTTGAACAGAGTTCGATCAGAATGTTCTCACATTTTGCGTATGATACAGAGATATAGACTGGACACCGAAAATCAACTCATGATCCTAGAGGGAGGATGAATGAATTTGAATTGAACAGTGGAAAAAGGTGACCCTTCCAGCGGCCCTATCACCTAACCCCGAATCGAACGGGGACCTCCTGCCTACAAATGTCGGAGGAGTGGTATAAGTAAGGCAGGTGCACACCGTGTGCTATAAGGTGGTCTCCTACCTCCTTTAAAAGCTGAATAGGTACAAGCAACAAAAAAAAACACAACCATTCAGCGCTTTGAACAAACATATGCGTGAACTTGATTTAATGTTGTAGAAAGGCCCTTTGCTCGTGAGAAGCTAGCTCCTGGCGACGGGGACAATTTGCATTTGGAGAGGAAAGCAAAAAGAGATTTCTTGAACCGAGCTTATCACCCAACCCCGAATTGAACAGGGATCTCCCGGTTATATATTCTTTTTTATTGAAAACTAGGGAATGCAGGAGCACACCATGTGCTATCAGGTGTTGTTCTACTTGCTTTAAGAGCAGATAGGTGTAAGCAAAAATTGGTGGACTGGTTAAAATGAAGTTTTGAACAGAGTTCAATCAATCTAGATCTGTTCTCGAACGTTGCCCACGATATAGGCACACAGACTGAATAAGAGAAAAATCCACCCGACCCCGAATCGAACGGGGACCTCCTGCCTGCATAGATTTCCAAAACCGGAAGGCTCTCAAGGTAAGCAGGTGCACACCATGTGCTATCAGGTGCTGTTCCCGCTACTTTAAGAGCGGATAGGTGTAAGCAAAAATTGGTGAGGTGGGTAAAATCAAGTTCAATGATGTTGTACTTTGTCCATGTCAACCATGATACCACAAAAATGGATAGGAAATTTGCCCCAGCTTTTGGAGAAAGGATGAATGAATCCGAGAGCGCAAAAAAAGCAGATGGTCCGGTGTATCACCTGACCCCGAATCGAACAGGGGCCTCCTGCCTATAGAGATCAATTACGAAGGAAAGACAGGTGCACACCATGTGCTATCAGGTGTGTTCCTACCTCCTTTGAACCTGAAGAACGGTGAGCACAAAATTAGTGAGTACCCTTTTAATCAAAGCCTCGACACAACCCCGAATCCGAGTCAATCATGTTGTACTTTACCCATGATCAGCACAAGAATGTACGTCTGGGAAGTGTCCTTACACGCATAACTGCCAACCTTGCTAACTTAGAGGAGGCACTGCACCGTGGGTTACACCCAAGATCCGCAGATCTTTCTGAGACCATACAATGTGTACTCTCTTGAAACTCCTTCTTTCGGGTCACTAGAGATGGTGGAACAGCTCTGTGGGCCAAGATTCCAATTCACCTATGCGATTACCGAATGAAGGTGCTTCACATCATTGAGCATCTGAAGTTCCTCCAGCAGGCAGATATTCAGCAACTAATGACTCAAGGCATTTCCCACCTTCGACACCTTCATGATCCCATGCTTGAGGGTGGGTTGTTTCATTTATTGTCCCTTGCAATGTTGCTTACACATGTTAAAAGCGAGGTTCTATACAGCAGCCGGAGGAAGATTTGCTAGATTACACCTTGGCCCTCAACATTTACAGTTTCTTGAAAAGGCACTAAAGTTATCGGAGTCCTGCGGAGATAGCACTGGACAGTGTGATTGCTTGATTGCAATGGCTGAGCTCAAGTGGAGGATTGGAGAGTACACAGCAGGGCTGAAGATTAGCAGAAATACCCAGCAATTGGCCTATCAAACAACCAATCTGTATCAAGTCTCCAGAGCAATGCGCAGAACTGCGTTATCTTTGACTGCTCTTGGTGACTACGTCGGCAGCCTTACTCAGCTCAACAGAGCCAGAGAGTTGCTTAATGTGTGTGGCATGACTAGTGGCATTCTAGATCATATGATATCACACTCTCAAGCAGAGATTTACTTGCGAAAGTCTGAATATGTTGAGGCCAGAAGTATACATGCCATGACTTTGCAAGACACTCGGCTTGATCCAAGTGCTGAATCCTATGGTTTTGCACTCCTGAATCTTTCAGAGATTGATATACTCATTGGTGCCACCAAGGAGACTGTGCACCTAACCTTGGGCCGAGCCCGAAAAATATTCACTGCCGTAAAATACCACCCAGTCGTGGCTTACTGTGACATGGTTTCAGCAGACCTGGACCTGAAAGAGGGAAATGAAACATCAGCAAAAACACTATTTCAGAATTATCTCAAGTCAGCCTGGGCCAAGAACACTGAAGGGGTGACATACTGCATGGAGAGACTTGCTGATGTTTCAAAATGGCCAATCGAGTTCCATGGGAAGGCAAAATGGCCGGTACTTTACCTGTGCCATGCACACATGTCCAGAGAGAAGCTTGCATTTTACAAGGCACTGCTCTTCATTGGAGATCTATTCATTGATGAGGATGAAGCTACAGCTCAGAACCTCTTTATTGTGGCACTGGAGGGATCACATTTATGGATGTTCACCGCAGCCGAGCTCAGTGCATGTTGCGACTTGGCGATCTGGCGCAAAAGAAGGGAGACACTACTGAAGCGGCAGAGCTATGGAAATTGGCTCGAGCACTGTTTGAACGCTCGCTCCAGGCCAAAGATGTTGCAGCAATTGACATGCGGCTTGTGGCTCTGGAATAAGGTCATCAGAGGTCCCTTGCCCAGCTCACAATCTTACATTCCCCTTATATCACCATCGAGAAGGATGAAGAGACCGCCAAAATTCCAGTGATGGTAGACAAAAGTACAGTTGCAGTGGCGTAATGTTAAAAAAGTGTTGGCAGAAACTCCTTATATACCCGGTGCTGCTCGAGGATGGATTCGAAGTGATGTGCTTCTTTATTTATGTACATACACGAGGTATTGTAAAATCATATGTAGTTTTTCCCTAATGTCTGAGATGTCATGCTCCAAAGAGATTCGAACCGATACGAGTTCAGCCAGGGCAACGCACTTCTCGCTGAGTATTATTTCTCCACCGTTAAAGCCAGATACGGTAGTCGGTCCGGTTCTTGTTGGACCCTTACAAATTCAACCATTCATTTCAGCTGTAAAGATTACATGTAATGTGGAATTACAATGACCAACATGCCTGAAACATTAATCTCAGCCAATTACCTCCTTAATCTTATCCAAACCTCTTCTGTCACTCAGACCCTGATTGCAGCAGTTGAACAGCACAGAACAAACCTAAGCCTGCCAGCTTGGTCTGTTCACAACTTGCACCGCAAGCTTTTACGCTCTTCAATCACACACAACGAACCGGACCTCAAACTCAAGACCTCGCACTAGTACTTCCAACTCTGCAGTTTTCTGCACCGCACTTGGGGGACACATGTGGATTGAACCAAGCTCTTGCTTTTCTTCGCGGCCTTCCGCATGAGGTTCTTGCCATTGAATTTTTAATGTTTTCTGAGACTGATGCGGAAGACTCTAAAAAAGCATGCCCTGAGGGCTCAGGGCTCACAGAAAATAAACCCAGGCATGAAATTTGTTTCTTCTTCTCACTCCCAAAAGATACAAAATCTTCTGAACAGAATGTTAAATGTTCAATTGATCAGACATTTCCAGACTCACCGGCCTCAAACATCCCTGCAATGGATTTAGGAGTAAAGTTAGTTTGGCGAGGAAGTGAATTGAGAATTCTATCCAGTGGAGACGTGGTGACTGTTCCGTGACATCATTTTTGAACTATTCCTCACTATGTGAACAGCATCAAGAATATTGTAGCGGAAAGACCCGGCTCGACTCCGGGCGGGATCATAATTGGAGGATCAGTATCCTTTTTTTCTTCTTCGTCGATTGAATCCAAGTTGTAGTTCTCTTTTTAGGTATGTATCAACACAAACGAACGAGGAATCACTGGTCCAGGGAAGTTCGTGTTGAATGGAACTTGTTTAAGATGCCCGAGCATCAAGTGCATCTCACTTAAGGTGGATATGAGACCGGAGGAGAAAGACCCTGTAGCGCGTGGTGTGCATCCGCTCTCCTTCCGTCAGTTGTTCGAATATTGCAACGGAAGGACCCGGTTCGACTCCGGGTAGGGTCATAGCCAGATGGGCATGGTTTTTTCTCTTTCGTCAATTGAATTTAAGCATGCTTTCTTCTTTTCCTAGGTATGTGTCAACAACGCAAACAAACGAGGAATCACTGGTCAGAAAGCGAGTGTTGAATGGACTTGTCTGAGAATCAATGTTCTTCCCAATTTTCACCCTCACTCACGGTGGATACAAGACCCTGCATCGCATGGTGTGCATCGGTGTGCATCGGCTCTTCGTTGCGTCGAGTTCAAACATTGCAGCGGAAGGACCCGGTTCGACTCTGGGCGGGGTCATACAGGATTCAGATAATTCTCAGTGCCATCCTTTTTCTTATCCTTAGGTCCCAATCCGAAGAACCGACCGCTGCCAGTGGTCGAAGACTCACGGAGATTCAACTTGTCCGAGATGCTCGAGCCTCATCATTTTTACTTGGGTTTCAGCCTCACTCATTTAGGGCACATGTATCAACGCAAGCAAACGAGCTCTAGGCAGGAAATTTGTGTCGGTTCAACTCGTCCGAGCTATCCGAGATTGACCTAACCTCATATCCTGAAGTTTCATCCTCATTGAGGGTACAAGACCAGAGCAGCAAGACCCCGCAACATATGGTGTGCATCCGCTCTTCATATCGCCTGTGTGAGTTTGAAAAATCCTTTCGCAGCGGAGAAACCCGGTTCGATTCTGGGCGGGGTCATAGGCTGGCCTAGAATAACTTTTTTTCCCTGCGAGAACATACTTTGTGTCGAATTAAATGGTCTACTTCGTATACCTGACGTGCTTTTCCTACTTGATAGGAAAACGATGATGATGTGTGTTGATTCAACTTCTCGAGTACAGTCAATTTCATTCACATTTTTCATAGGCACCAATACCCTAGCGTATGGCATGCATCCACTCTTTATAAATGCTCAAGAAATTGTGCCAGCGGATAAAACTCTTGAAACCACTCGGCGATCGCGATCGGACTTCGACCGGGTTGGCATCACGATCGCAGAACCCAAAAAAAAAAGAAAACGGGGCATGTGATAAGTTCAACCTCCTTTTTTCTCCGTCTCGCGAGGTAATTGCAGCAAGAGGCGAGCGGCAATCAACTTCCGGACACAGACCTCCTTTTCACACCCAGGATAGAATTCTTTTAGGCCGGATTAAAAGGCTAGTGAAAACAACTTGTATTAGTAGGCAAATACATCGTAGTTAAAATAATGCGAATTGATACCATAAAATAGCCTTCGCAAAGTAAGATAATTTACTTCGCCTTTTTTGTTCAAGGAAACCATGTCATTTCATTCACATTTGAAAGGGGATTGAAGTCAAAGACAATCGAGTGCAGAAATAAGCTGTTTGATTTGACTGGTTCTCAACGGAATAAGGAAACAAAGGGTTTCCACCTTTGTTTTAATCCAGCCTAAAACAAAGGTAGAGGGCCCGCGGTGGCGGCGGTCGACGTTTGGTCGAGACGTTGAGGGAAATGTCATCGGCCGCGTGATCCGTAGGCTCGTAACCAGCCTGCCTACGGCAACGTGTTTACCTGCCATCACGGAAGTGTAAACACGTTGCTGTAGGCAGGCTGGTACTTCTCGGTCCACGCCAAAGGGCTGGGCCGGAGTTTGAATTCTTTGGCAGGGGCCGATCGGTGCCGACGTGGTGGCAGTGCCTAGTCATCAATTCCCCGTCAAATCTGAGCCTTTTACAGCCTTCCTCTGGGAAATATAAAAATATTCTGAAGTGACAGAAATCAAGATTGAGGGTTTTAGATTACCGATTTTTTAGAAAGTACTTTGAAAACCTATTCAATTGAGCAAAATCCAGCTTCGGGGAAATTTTTTAAACTCCGGCTCAGCCCTTTGACCTAAAACGAGAAGTACCAGCCTGCCTATGGCATAGTGCTGGCACAACCCCCCTAGCCCTCCCCCACTATGATTTCCTTTTGGGGAAGTCCCCATCATTTGAGTTGTGTTCGAGCGATAAAGTCAGTCTGAGGC